AAGTTTGTTAGATCAAAGATGCTTCTAATGATCCAGGATAATAATTCAAAGTAGCCAAGCAGGTATTCTGTGGACATTAATTTCCATGACGAGTGGAAAGCTCTGTCCTGAAGGTAATGTTTACATAAAAAGACTGATTCTGTTAGCCATGATTGATAAATCTTCCCACATCATTAAGTAAGAGATAGCACTACCATGCACTAAAATGTCAAAAGTGCAATTAAATAATAAACTTGGCATTATGCTACAATGCACTAAGATTATTTATAGAAAGGAATAATGTTGTTTTGGGAGTCTGTGGGTTTGCAGCTAATTCACTACTAACTTTAATATTATTGGGAACACTGGTTTAATACAAGAGGGCTTAAAATATTTAAAAAAAACCACAGAAGTATATTTGGATTGAATAATGGGTACAGATTAATTTTACAAGTCCTTTGAGAAATACTTTCCCTACAGATCACCTACAGTACATCAAAATACAGAGTTATCTAGTATGTATGACTTTTGTACCTTTTCTTGCAGTCTACTAGGACATCATAGAGCAGTCTCAGGAGAGTGTGCTTTTTCTCTGTAGCCAGATTCCAGTCAGAAATCCATTTTCGGACCTAGGTATAATACGAATGAAAAATAAGCATTCAGGAAAAGATTAAAATAGCAATACCAATACTTTTCATTTTCTCCCAAGCACAAAATAATTCAAAATATCTTGCACAGAGATTTCTCTTTTAGGTCTTCTGATTCTCATGTTCCCATTGCCCCTTGTCCTTTCACTATTTGCCCACGTCAAAAGTCGCTCTCCCTTTTTAATGAGCCCCCTTGAAAGTACTGCAATAAGGGCATCCTGGAGCCTTCTCTTCTCCAGGCTGAACAATCCCAAAGCTCTCAGCCTTCCCTCACAGGAGAGGTATTGCTTCTCTCTAATCATCTTCATGCCAATTTCTCTAGGCTCTGGCAATTTGTAAAAGATGGACTGTATCAGCTCTGAGTAATGTTTAGGTGCAACACGGTTCATACAAAGGCCACAACTTGAAGGGTCACTTAATTACCTGATCTAGTTCAGTTGGAATGTACTGGATGGCACCACAGGACGAGGCCACTTTGAGAAGGCTGCAGTACACTGTGTACCTCACAGGAGTGTTCTTGTCCATGCCATGGAAGAGATTGCTCAGGCTAAACCACAAACAACCGACAACGGAGTTACAGAGCTTTCAAAAAACATTACTGCAATGCATGTCAATGTTTTTTTAAGACACATGCTGGTAAAAAGCATCTGGCAGCACCTTACATCCGTGAATTGTAAGTTTCCAGTTTTGTAATCATTTTCAGCAAAGCTGAAAACTATACATATTAATTTTATTCTGCAATAACCAAGGAAAAAAAATAGAAGTACCAATATTTTATGACAGTGAAAAGAAGGTAAAAATAGAGTGCTTCCTGCAACAGCCCACACTCTGATCTGAAGACATACAAGATAATCCTTCCTCTTCAGAGGCACAATTTGCCAAATCACCACTGTCTGACTTAGCCCTGTACGAAACTTACAGCTGCAGTCTAAGAGATGGGCGCTCTCCTTCCCGAAACTTTACTAACTTCTCACACAGATTTTCAATCAGTGCTTCTTGTTTGTCAGGTTCCAGGATAAGGAGCAGAGAGACAACGCTGTTCATCACACTCTCCACATCTGCATAAACCAAAACATACAGCTGTTTGAAACTGCAAGCAGCAATCAGTAGTTACCTTGTGCTGGATATACTTTTGATAATAGTAATCCATATTTTTGATATGAATTACCACTTGGCATGAGTCAGAATTGTAAAAGAAAGAAAATGCCAAGATACACAGCTGGATATTATTCAGAATGTACCATAACCTGGCTTAGGTGGCCTTATACCGTGTAAGACAAGAATGACCGTTCTAAGGTCAACACAGAACATGGTATTTGATATCACACTTACTCTGAATTCTCTGTTTACACTGAGGAGAAACCAGAGAAACTCTAGGTTCCACACAGTGGCTTCCTCCTGCACATCCAGGAAACTGCCCACAGTTCTACAGTGAGAACAGTAACACCTAGTGCTCAAGCACAGTAAAACATTTCACCAGGACCAAGAGGGACACCCAGACCAAGGGAAAATGTCCTCAAGAACAATGAAGTGTATTACAAACCCTCCCCGGCTCCTGTTTTAAGTGTAGTGTTCCATCCTTTCCAAACAGAACCACACCAGTTTTGTGTTTTCTTTTCAGTCTACCCAATTATCAGTCAACAAAGAAAAAGAACAAAATTCATTACATATGGAAAACATTATCTATTCCCCAAAATGACACCTGAGCATCAAAAACTCTAATTTACATACAAGTCTCTACACCCTCATTACAAGCAGAGTCTAGCTCAGCTTCTGACTTCTTCAAAGAGTGCTAGATGTTTGGAGAAAGGAGGGGCTGAGTACACATGCAAATATTCCACGGCAGTGATGGAAATGTACCCTTCCAGTTTTATTAGAATGCACACCTTGTGTTTTAATGCTACACATCTCTAAATTCTGACAGCTGTTAATGTTTGAAACAGACAGTGATAAATCGCAAAACCAAGACTGAGATGCAAACCTTTGTCATCCTCTTTCAGGCACACATCACACACTTCAATAATCTGTGCCAAGTCCACATGAAGTCCGCCTTCAGCGTTTTCTTCAGAGATTTCTGCTCCTTTGGATTTCAGGTAAGCTCGCAGTTCTGCAGCCTTAAAAAAGAGAAAGACAGCACACACTAAACAAAACAGTTGTTTTGTGAATAACAAAGTCAAAGCAATTAAATTTCTTACAGATTTTTGTTCTGCCAGAAGCTGAACCTGCTGTTCTGCCAGTGACTGAACAGGTCACAGAGCTGTTGGGCTTCCTCACAACGTCAATGTGTCACTCACAAATGTATTCTGCACTGCAGGCCTAACAAATTTTTGTGACAAAGACACTTTCTTACAAAGTTTTACTCCCTCTGCAAATGTCAGACAAACATTAAAACCATTTAGTTGCTTCTTCACCAGAAAAGAAAAAAGGTATAAGCAAAGCCACTTTAGAGAGAGCAGAAGTTTGTCTTCACAACTTCACAACAACAGCTTCTACAGAACGGCTTGGGTTGGAAGGAACTTTACAGATCTTGTTCCACACCTCTGCCATGGGCAAGGAACGTCCCACTAAACCAGGCTGCCCAAAGTCCTACTCAACCCAGCCTTATAATGTCATGTGCTGCCTTACTCTGCTAGGAATTAAACCTACACCAAGAAAATACCTGTATGCAACAGGCCTATTCATTATAATTCAGGACTTCACCAGCAGAACCATAACCCTTCAGAAACAATTTGAGGAAATACAACTTTTGGTATAGAGAACTTCTGACCAGGAGGCTGCTGTGACATTTACATCTCGTTCAGTGTCAAACATCTCGTTCAGTGTCAAATCATTTTGGAACCAGAAGAAAAAGCCCTGGGACAAACTGCTGAACTGAGGATGTTTCACACCAGCTACTTGTCGGGGCTGTGCTAGGCACTATAGCAAGTGAAAACTGGGCTGGTGGCTGGTAACCGTGTGTGAATTTCTTGCAAGTTTTCAATGTGTACACGCACATATTGTGCATACGTAAACATGTATGGGCACATGCATACTTCAACGACACTGCGAACAAGCAGCCGCCAAAGGCACAACAAAGCAGCAGCTCGCAGACAGAACTCCCACTTTTCGTGCCTGCAGTACCGAGAATTCCAGAAAACCCAAGTAATGCACATATGTGAACCCGCTTTCTTCTCCTAACTAAAAAGCAGGGCTGAGGAGCGATGAAAACGAAGTGCCGGAGAGGCGGAACACTGAAGAGGGAACTGCAAACACCGGCTTATCTTTCAGCCATTATGTTCAAGTTTCTCTAATCGTCTGCTCGGTCTCTGTAGGGAACAGCCCGGAGGAGTTCGCGGAGCGCATGCCGGGGTAGGTCCGGCCGGGGCCGCCGCCCCCGGCACGGCTCGGCCCAGCCCTCCAGCCCGGGGCCGATCGCTCCCCGGGGACGCTGACCTGATCCTCCTCGGTGATGTCGATGAAGGCCGGGACGCTCATGGCTCCGAGCACGCCGCGCTCCGGAAAGGCGGAACGGCTTCCGCCGCCGCGCCAGGCCGCGCCGCTTCCGCTTCCCGCGCCGAGCGGGCGGGCCCGCGCGCCGGCAGCCCTGCGCCCGCCCCGCCCGGCTCGGCTCGGCTCGGCTCGGCTCGGCTCGGCTCGGCTCGGCTCGGCTCGGCTCGGCTCGGCTCCGCCCGACCGCCCCGCCCCGCCCGGCTCGGCTCGGCTCCGCCCGACCGCCCCGCCCCGCCCGGCTCCGCCCGGCTCCGCCCGCCCAGCACGGTGCTGCCCGGCTGAGTCCTGCGCGGCGCGGCTCTGAGCGGCACGGCCCTTCCCACCGCCGGGCGCGGCACCGACACCCGT